GATTGACTTTAATAATCGTATGTTTTGCATATGTTTTTATGATAATTCGATTGAAAGGGTTATGAATAATCCGAATTCATTCATTTTTGCCATGATTATCGAATATTATGATTTTTATTTTGTGAATTTTTATTTTTTTCTTTAGAGTTCTCGAACGAATTATGATTCATGAATGAATTGTGATAATTAGATTCTGTGTGATTAATGTTTGTTTGTGTAAGTTTATTAGGAACATGATTAGGATTCAACAAACTGGCTATTAGGTTTAACTGTTGAAAGTTAAGTAATTTGAAGGGTTTGGAAAGAAACCTGATTATGCAATCAACAATAGTGTAATATTCTAAAAATAATATCCATTTAATTAGGTTATTGGTAAATAATAATCAATTTTTAGAGTTTTAATTTAATAATAAAATATTTTAGAATTAATGGGCTGAAAAATAGTGTTTTAAAATAAGAGAGTTGCTGTGTTTTTATTAAAAGAGAGTATTGAGCTTGGTTCAATTAATTTGTAGAGTTATTTGAGTTTAGTTTGGTTCTTTTTCTCAATACTTATTCGTCTTGTTTGTCTCTTGGAATCATGCTGTTATAGATTCCTGTTTGAGGAGGAAGAAATTTGAGGAAGTATTTTATTGTTATACATTTGTTTAGGAAAACACCTTATTGGTTATTGGTTAAAGGTCATGAAATGAGTTAGTTATGTTGTTAAGTGTACATCAAATTGTGGGTAACAAAGTTACTCCTTCCGTCTTTTTTTCATAGTCGTTTAAGATTTTGCACGGGATTTAAGGAAATCATTGATATTTTAGTTTTTAAAAATGTTTATTACTTACTTTCCAATTTTATCCTTTGTTTTTTTTTTTTGCATTTTTTAGACTGTTGAACTACTCCATTAAATAGTTGTCCCTTTTCTTGTTTTTTTATAGTATTTTGTTGGGAACATATTGCTCTTATAAATGCACATTAACTTTATCTAAGTAGTTGGAGAAAAATTAGGTAGACATTAAAAATAAATACACACATTGTTCAGGAAACATGTATTAATTATCAAGGGTAAAAATGAAAGAAAAAAATTAATAACTCATTGATTTTAGTAATATGACAATAAAAAAAATAACAAACTCTGACAAAACGACTATGAAAAAAAACGGAAGGAGTAATTATTAATCAAAAGTTTCATTATTGTTGTTGTTACTATTGTTGCTATCATCATCATTGATATCGTTACCACGTGGTGGTGATAACAATGACAATAATAATAGTGATAATGATGATGATACAAGTAATAAATTATAGTGATAGTGGTAGACGACAATAATAATGATTTTGTAAGGGATATAATTAAATTTTAATAATCTCATAACTCTCTCATTTATAATAATGAGACATGTTCTCGAATACACTTTTCCGTGTTTGTGTAACAATAATGAGACATGTTTGTATGTGTAGAGAGATTCGTTTACTCTAAGAGTGAGTCTACCTAGATTTATTCCGTTCAATAATTCATGTTTTACATCAAATTTCAACGATCCAATCGTTGATTTAAAGTTTTTAATGTATAGATAAAGTCTACAATTTTTTTAAAAAAATTAAAAATCATTTGATACATCATTTCATTAATTCAAATCAATGTATAAAATGATTTTATAATTATTCATCAATTTAAATTAATAAAATGAAATATTAAATGTTTTTCAAAATTTTAAAAAATTTTCAGACTTGATTTATGTATTAAAAAATTTAAATTCAACGATTAGATCATTAAAATTTTATATAGAACATGAGTTATTGAACAAAATAAATTAACTAAACTTATTTTTAAAGTAAACGAATCTCTCGTCTATCTATCTATTTATGTATATATATATATATATAGTTTACCATATGAAGTTAAATCATGAAGTGGTTTTGGTCAGAACCTTTACAATTGATTGAGATTGTACCAACGAATTTCCAATTAAAAGAAGAATAAACTACCTAAGGCATATTCGTTCTCCAACAAGGAAGGAAAAATTATGATTGGAGTAGTTTGGTTTCAGCTATAATGGCTAGTAAGTCAAACTGGAAGACATAATTTAGCATGAAAAGTGTTCCATGTGAGAGATATGTATGTATGGAGACATTTTCATTTTTGAAGCCAACTTTTGTGTCTCATTGCTTGTCTTGGCCGACCAAAAATAGACCTGTGACAAACACACGAGACCAACAAGAGGTTGCCCTACTAGGAAAAACAATATCTTTGCCCCAAAATAATTGCATTTTTTTTTTCCTGTCTTACGGGTTTATTTTAAGGTATCAAAATTTGTTTTCAGAAAAGTGAACTTAGGAATATTATATTTCATCTTTAGTATAAATTTTTGAAAAAATATTTTTAGTTTGTTATAGGTTTATGAAATATTCATGTCTTATATTTATATATATAAAAAGGGAGTATTTTACATTATGATATAAAAATGAGCTATTTTCTATAATAACTATTTTTTTCTACTTCATTCTTTCACTTTTATTTTTTAATTACATAAATCGTAAATTATTTTTGTAAAATTACTAAATGTAAACTAAACATGTTCATAAGAATAATAATATTATTAAACATAATAATCAGCAAGAGTTGGATTTAGGAGAAGGATTGGTCACCCGTAACTTAATTTTTTGTTTGTTTGTTATCATGGAGTGTTCTCTATTGAATATAGAAATAATTTCTGTTGAGAATTTGATAAGCATTAAATAAATGAATATTTTCTTCTAGGTTGAATTTTTTCTATTAACAAAAATCATGATTTGATCCTTATTATTTAGTTAAGCGATGTGAATTTTTTTGTTATTCGTACTAATCAAAGTTAATAGATCGTAACTTAATAAACTAATGTTCAAATTTTTGTTAAGAGATATTTACATTTAATATTTAATCGTACATCAAATAAAGTTGTAAACAAAAGAAAACGTTTTTTATTATTATGGAAATATATAATTCTTGAAAATATTTTTGTCCTCAATTCTTTTTTGGAAAATACAATATTATACTAAGCAGCCTGTTATTTAATAAAGTAAATAGAGGGAGCGTGTTGCAGCTTGTCATATGTTTTTAATGTTGGCCAATACTCTACAGACTCCATGTGTTTATTGTTTATTGTTTATTATTTAAAGTTTGTGTGAAAGTGAAGTGTTTATGTTGTTAACCATTAACGTCATTATAAATGAATTGTCATCTTTTAAAATAAAAAATTAGGTATAATTGTTTTATCAATATGATTTTTTGTAATATAAAAATCGAACTACAAATAAAAAATATATATTATAAATTCATATTTATAGCTAATATTTTAATATGCACAATACACAGACTAAATATTTATTATATATAACTAAAATTTATAATAAATTATATATAAATATTATATTTGAATATATAAATTATATTTAAAATTTATATAAATAAATATTTTAAATATATAAATTATATTTTATATTTATGATAAATAATAGAATATTATTTTTATTTATAAATAATTTATTTTTAAAATATTGAAATTATTTTCATAAATAATTATGATAAAATAAAAATTTATATTTAACATATAGATAATATATCATACTAGTATTTAATTTGTTGGTGTATCCATTATTTTTTTTATATATTAATAAAATTGTTAATATGTTGTATTAATTTTACTGTTATAGCAAACTCCAAACGTGTGGTTCAGCGGTAGGGCTTGATTTACGCTTAAGTAAAGTCAAGGGTTCGAACCCTATCTGAGTAGATACTCCAGGAATGAAAAAAAAAAAAAAACATTTATTATAATTTATTTTTGTTATGTGTATGAATATTGACGAGGTCGGCTAGCCTGCAATATAAAACATTGAATTGGGTTAATAATTGCAACAAGAAGATCGTGACCACCACCACCTTGTGTCTCTAACTTTCTGATAAGTGACCCTATATAATTGATTGATATAGAATTTGGATGTATTGGATTGAAATTTTATAATTTTTTAAAAGAAAAGTTTTATAAATTTTAAATTTTTTATAAGAATTTAAGAAATATATTAGATGGAGATTTTATATTTTTAAAATGTGAATTGACAATCAAATTAGTTTAAAATTAAAAATATATAACTGAAATGATAATATTGATATATTTAATAGATTAAAAATGGTAACAAGTAATTAAAGTTAGAAACTTATTTGACAATCTCTTATTTTCGAGAACTAATATAACAACATCTTTTAACTATAGTCTAAATTGGATATTTATTCTTGTTAATATAAATTTCTTTAACTTGTTAAATCAAATTAGAATTTCCTTCTCTTGATGCTTTACAAATAATTTTGTGAAATAAAGTGCAAACGGTAGTATAAAATTATGAAAAGCATAAAAGACAGGGATCGACATTTTTCCACACTAATATTAGGAGGGATAATTTAAAAAATTCAAACAAATAATAATATTTTTTGGTACAAAATGTTATAGCATAGCATATTGATCTTTCTAGAATTGAATAATGATAACACCAGGCCGTTTCTGAATTAAAGTAGCTTTTCATTTTGGCTGGTTTGCACCAACTCGAGAAGTTAAACAAGCCTTGCTTAATACTTTTGCTAGATAAGTGATAAAGAAAAAACCAATAGCAATGCCATTTTATCATAAACAGCTTTACTTGATCATGAAACTTCATCTTTAGGATAAATGTTTGTTGAGTCATCCTTTCTCACTAGGTATTTTTGGATAAACTTTTTTGGAGACACTTTAAAAGAAAAAAGGAACAAAAATGAAAATAAATTTCTCTATAAATTAAAGTTAATTTATTCACAATTTAAAAATAAAATTTTGAAAAAGCTAATAGAAGAGAACTTTTGCAAATTAGTTAATGCATAAACTAATTTTAATTTATAGATAAACTTATTTCAGTTTTTCCTCCTACTTTCCTCTTCTAAAAGTGTTTATGAAAAAGTTTAAACAAACAAATCCTTAATCTTTTATTATTTAAACTAGCTATCCTGAGAAAGTAAAAGGAGGGAACTGACATTCCAAACAAAATTCACTGTGGAATAGCATCAAGTCCAAATGTTAACTTGCACAGCCTATATATGTGGTTTCACACACATGTACACATATTCACAATCAACAACAAAAAGAGCAGGACCAGAAAACTACAATACAAACAATTGTTGTTAGCCCTTATATAGCAGTAACATATAGCTTTTTTGGAGCACAAATGAATGAACAATTTGTGGCAATGAGACTTCATTTAGATGCCTTGTGGCCCTGCCCTTTCATCTGACTAGCAGCTGCTGACATCACACGCAAGCGGCGAGCAATCTCTGTGAAAGATGGCCTGACTGAAGGATTTGGTGCCCAACACTGCTCCATTAATGTTTTCCACTCTAGATCACAATAATTGGGGATTGTAGGTCTTAAGGTGTTATTCACAATGCCTCCTGCATGTAGTGTGCAAAGAAGTGAGAAAATTTTCTTTTGGGTGGGGTGAGGGGGAACTGAATGATTTCTCTAGTGATCTGAATGCATGAAAAATTATTACAGGGAAAAAATATCATAGATGCTAGATGGATGCATGCAAGGGCAATGAAATTTTATGTAAACCATTTGAAATTACAAATGAGATTTTAAATGAATCTCGGTCATTCATAAATTTATGCATATTATAAAAAGCATTTGTCTTCTGCAATTGTCATTGGAAACTTATACAAGCAACATATGTCCAAGGAAACTTGCATATGAAAAATATTCAAATTTTAATATAATACTTCCTCCTGTATTTATCATGAGACTGCTAGGATATAGAATAAAAAGAATTAGAATAGTTATTAGTTAGAAAGATATCATGGGCTAGGCCCATCACATCTACAAATAGGAGAGAAATATCTCCTCCAAGGATTTTCCCTTCACAAAGGATTTCTCCTATTTATCAAGTAACCTCGATTTACAAATGTGAACAAATCTCCCCCTCCCCTCTATCAAGTAACCTCCTAATTATAGATGTAATTGGCCTAGCCCATGATATCTTTCTAACTAACAACTATTCTAATTCCCTTTATTCTATATCCTAATAGAGAGACACAATTTAAAAGCAAACGGTAGTTTTTTTTTATAAGTCACTTTATAATTTTTATAAAAGAATTTTATTTTTCATCTTTTGTTCTTATTAAAGATTACGAGAACATATGTTTCTTATTATTAGATAAAGAAATGAGAATTTGAGAAATAAATGTTTTCTTTCTCACATCTTAATGTTTCTAATGGTCATTTATTAATTTTATTGGTGTAGGTACATAAACTTGAATATAGAGTAATATCTTCGTCTCTTCATGAAAAGTTAATAATAAATAAAAAGGATAAAATTGGTACATCATGATTTTGTTTTATAAATCTAATAAAATCAACTTATATAATTACTTACACTAGTTGCGTGATTCGGTTATAATTTTTTCCCTCTCATCATGGTTTTGTTTTATAGTAATGACTGAAGGGATTAATAAACAAGATAAGATGGTTTATAGGTTTATCTTGCCCAATGAGTTTCTGCTATCCTGTTTGTTTTCTCCTTCAAATTGTGTAAGGGTTGTTTCTGCAAGTTGAAGTAGGTAACTTGAATTTAGATACACGTGTTCTATTCTTTATTTTGGTTTAGCTACATGGGCCTTTTAACTTGATTGTTTGTGGCTATTATTCACCAAGGCATTCAGATTTTACCCTTTTGATCATCATAATAGTTAAATTCACAGTGTACCCTGATTATTAAGAGATTAATAAAAGTTGTATCAATGCAATGGAAGTACTATTGATGCAACTAGTGTCTCAGAAAGGTGAAAGGTTCCAAAGAGAACAGAAAAGGACCGCACCTATGATTGCACCATAGTGCATATTTGCATATGGCTCATCACCAGTAAGGATCTCCCATAAGACAATGCCAAAAGAGAACACATCAACCTAAAGATTAGACATAAAAGCATTAATAATCAATTCTTCTCAAACAATAGAGATAAGGAGAGACAGTAAAGTACTATAACCGACCAAATAGCAAAATAATTTGTTTCCCTTGTTTACAATTTTAATCTATGAGACGGATTGGAACTTATAAAAGCCTAAATGTTAAAAACTTAGGCAGGTGCCAATTGAACTACAAGCTTGTTGGTGACAATTTCAGTATCTAATAGAAGGTAAACTTGAATTAACTTGTTGGCTATTTTCATATTTAAGGTGATTCCAAATTTCCACTGATGATCTGAAATTTTACCTTTTCTGAGACCTTATTGCTGCTACCATTTAGCAACTCCGGTGCCATCCAAGGTAAAGTTCCGCGCACACCACCAGACACCAATGTATTTCGCTTAATCTTTGATAGACCAAAATCGCCAACCTGGTGAAAAGCAAGTTTCTTAGCTTTGTTACACTGAAGACAAAATTATAATGGCATGAGCATGAATATCCACAACTTGAAGTCTTGAACAGATACCTTGCATATTGGCCGAATAGGATCCTTCAAGTTCACAAGCAAATTGTCACATTTCAAGTCAAAATGCACAATATTTTTTGAGTGTAAATATTCCATTCCAAAAGCTGCATCCATGGCAATTATCAGCCTCTTGCGGCGATCAAGATACCTGGAGTCAGGATAAGATAATGAAAAAATCTCACCATTTTTCTTGATGAAAAAATGGAATCTAAGGATTATAACAAGTAGCAAAATGTCAGGGCTTACATGAAAAACTAATTGCACTTTATCTAAATGCAATAAATTAAGATGAGGCACTACCTATTTAGTGTTCAGAAAGAAAAAGAGACAAATTTTACATAAGTCATGTGAAATTTTAATATGAGAGGATCCATTCCTTAGGAGGATGGATGCATTACCTATCCTTACGAAGCAAAACATTCCTAAGAGAACCATCCACCATGTACTCGGTAACAGTCGCCAACGTTGCTCCTGGTCCATCCTGAACTACACCATAAAAGGCCACCACATTTGGATGGTGAAGCTTGGAAAGTATGTCAGCTTCCCGCCAGAACTCTATGGTCTGAGATTGGAAATGAACACCATCAATATAAGCCCTTTAATAAAAGAGTAGCCTTATAAAAATGTGACTAAAATAAAAGGAACACAATCACTGAGGGTGATTCATAGGTAAGTTACCAGTCTCTCTTGTTCTGAAGATCGACCAGCAAAGCAGCTTTTCTTTATTCTTTTAATTGCAACATCTGATCCCCTCCATTTTCCATGGTACACAGTACCAAAGGTACCAGAACCCAACTCTCGCAGTTCTTCAAGATCTTCATTCTTTATGAACTGCCATGTGCATTATAAATATATATAATAAATAAATATTAGTAAATCTTATGAACTCAAATTCTATTATGTCATTATAGAAAAACAGACTATTAAGAAACCAAACCATCATCTAGTACAAATTTCAAGTCAACATTATAGAAACAAATTTATACAGGATATGCCAGTCATTCATATTAGCAAAGAGCGAATGTTAATGGAAGAAGAGATTATGTAATAGTTGTGGTCTTGTGGATTAATGAGTCAATTAACATCAAGGTCAGCTAAGAGTGACATTTTACTTTCATGATAAAGTCAGAGGTAGCATCAAAATAGTAAAGCAAGGTAGAATAAAATATTTTAACCTATAAATTTCACATATGTTAATATTATAAGAATAGGATAATACTAGACAGTAATTCATTTATGACAACAGAAAATAGAACTCATAATTTCTACAATGGGAAATAGAAGAGTAGAATAAAATTATTGTTCTCTTTAAAAAAGGCAGGTATAATACATCAATGTAAACATGATACCTGTACAGTACTGGTGTCAAAATCCCCTGCTACACCCACATTCCTTGTTTCATTCATGCCATCCTAAATTCAATCCATTACAAGATTTGTCAGAAAAAAGGAGCAAATTAGGCTCTTAAAATAAAGAATGATCAATAACATACCTGGTATTCAGATTCCTGTGGTCTTATGTTTTCCATCATGGCATCCATATTCTTATTTTCATTGCCCTGTGGTTGGGAATGCTCATACTTTTGGAGAAAAACAGTGGCTTCTGCTTTAGTTGTTACAGGTACATTTTTCTGATTTTCTTCACCAAAATTTAGGTGGGATTCCTTGGTTCCTGCCAAAATACCATCTGCTGGTAGAGGAGCAGATTGCTGAGATTTACTATCCCTCTCTTGTACTTTTCTCACAGCAGATGAGAAACCGAGATTATCCTGATCAATTAGAGAAACATTATCAAACCCCTCTTGGGCCAAGTTCTGAAAATATGACCAACTTTTAGGCTCATGATTGTCCATGTTTAAGCTCAAACCTGCTCTATCTGTTGGTAATGGACCAATGCTCGAGGAATCTTCAGTATGTACTGCTTTGGAGAACATATCATAAAGGAAATCACGGGGAAACCTATCTTCAATATCAATCAGAATGTCACCCTGAGTAGGTCTAGATTTAGCTTCTGGGGGGAAATCTTGAGAAACATCTTGACCTTTGTTTCCATTTAAAGGAAAGGGCTGAGATTGGACCTTAGTATCACTATCAGATTCCTTGGTAGAAATCTCAGCCAAATTGAGGTCAGGAAGTTTAGGTGCTAGATTTTGATTGTATTCAACAGAAGGAACCCGATGAAATGCAAGATGTTCAGTACCTTTGACTTCATCAACTAAGAGAATATTATGGTTGTCTTTGGAGCGATTGTTTTCGTTTTCAGAACTAAGGACCCGATCCTCATTTCTAGAAACTTTGTTGTCTGCCAACACTTGCTTCAACTCAGAATCCACATGCTGTGATAACTTTGAAGTCACCTTACTTGTTGCATCAGGCAACTGTTTGTATGTCGGCAGTTGGGCAAATCCATCATCAATGGTATGGCCATCTGCATGCAAGGGCCTTGCTGCTGAGCTGGACACAATGTTCAGATTTGACATGTCATTGTGCAATATGTCACTGGATTCTGTAATTGAATTGTTCTGGTTGAAGTCAGAAAGCAAATCTGACATGAGTAAGTTAGAACCATAAGCATCATCTGACTTTGTAGATCGGTTCAGC